TCTTTATCTCTTCATTTGATGTTTTAGGGTTTCAGGATTGTTGTATTCTCTGTATGGCTTAGTTTTTCAGATCTTTGCTGTGGAGGTATGGCGTGGTGCTTCTGCCTAGAGTGCCATTTTGCCGGAACTAGGAAACTCCTTTTTATAAATGAATCTTCTTCACTTTTTACCTACTTCAGCCCTATTTTCCTTATAATCCATATTGAGCTAGTTAAAACCTGTACCATTCTTCTTCTTCCGGAAAGGAACAAACAATTCCAGGTTTACATAATTGCATTGCATCCATGGCATCCCAGAGAGGTGGGGTGGTGGAGATGATTTGCCCTGGTGCCAGCAACACAGGGCTCACTGTCTGTAGACAATTTAAGGCAATAATAAGGCCAACTAAAAGTTGATCTGCCTTTTATTATTACCACGTGGCGGTGATGCTGAACAATGTCAGTGATAAAATACTCCTCCCTGCAGGGGCAGATCACTGCCATCCTCAGCTTGGAATGCCCCTGTGTTGCATTATCAATAAACAAAGGATTATTTTGTGATTTTCCTTTTCATTGGTAGGGTAGTCTTTGGCTGTATGACTCTCACATGTGGGAAGAGACCACTAAAGAAAAATATGGGAGATCTGGAAAAAGTGAACAAAGCTTTTAAATTCCCATTCCAGGCTAATAGTACTATTTCTGATGACAGAGTGAAATCCTTTCCTTTTTCATATTTGCTTCAAATCTTCAGTGCTACAGGAATTGTGTAAACAACACAACAGTCAATGAGAGACCAGGAGATGAAGGAAGAAACGTTTGCTAATTCTACTACGCTTGAGAGAAATGGCTGAAATAAAACAAAAACTCGGGCCTTCTTTCTTACCTATTCTCAAGGGAATATAACAATCATTTTATGTAGCAGTACTCAAAATTCCCTTAGAATTTCTCACCTAAAGAGGTATGATTTACTTTTATTTCTTTATTCTGAAATGAGAAAACAAAATTCCTATGAAAATGGGGCTGTGGCATGCAGGAGACATCACCCCTTAGCTCCTGTCACCGAGATCCCTAAAGCTACCCTAGGTCAGGTCCTTTCAAAGCATGATTTCTTAGCTTTCCTTTTCATTCTGTGAGTGTCCTCATATCCTCCCACAAATGGGAAGAAGACTCATTAACAACCTGTGACATGCAGATGACACAACCTTGCTTGCTGAAAGTGAAGGTAACTTGAAGCACTTACTGATGAAGATCAAATACCACAGCCTTCAGTACAGATTACACCTCAACATAAAGAAAACAAAAATTTAAGCAATAAGAAAAAAAACAAAACGGAGTATAGTAATAAAGCCATATGGTTCAGGCAGAATAAGAATAATTCACTCATTGAATTAGAAATAGTTTTCACTCAATTTAAGCCTTCAGTGGGGAATTCTCCACTGCAATGGCTTCTAGAGACATACAGTCAGAGAAAATACTTTTAATTACAGTCTTTAAAATAAAGAAAAAACATGATGAAGTAACCTAGTTTCCCAGATTCCAATTATTTGCATACCACCCTCAAAATTCCTGCTGTACCTGGGCATGTTTATATTTTCCTTAAATTTATTTCTATTTCCACTTATTACTTAAAAATATCTTGAAAGAAATTTTATATTGCTACTTTAAATGAAAAATCAATATCACTTTGCATAAGTAGAAAGTAACTATAAAAATAAGTACAGCAAGATGAAGTTAATTAATTTTATATACATAGCATTGGTGGGGAAAGCTCTGAGCCAGCTCTGAGCCTGAAGCTTGATCTCTATTTGTTACTAAGGAAGATTAGATAAAGACCTACTAGCTCTAAACTAATCTTTCTCCTGGAAATAATCAGAAGGATTGAAAGGGAACGTTTATGGAAATAATTTTCTCATTATATGATTCAGTATTATTTAATACTGCATCTGTGTCCCATCACATTCTCTTGGAGACCCCAGTGTTACGTATTCCACACCCTTCAGGAAACACCAGTGTCCTCCACAGTGAGTCACAGGAATATAAATGCACTATGTGTGGAAAGAACTGTGGAAAGCAGCTTCCAGGTCTGCGGCTGACATTTTTATTTATGCATTCATCAGCTATTATGTACTAAACATAATAGTTGTGTCAGTCATTGTGCTAAGTACTAGGGATACAGTGGTAAGACCCTCCTTCAAGTAGAAAACAAGGAGAAATTCATTTTTTGTCTCCTATGCTCTTTGGCTCCACTCACTACATTGGGACTTGGAAAGAGGAGGCAAGGGAAAGACCTGGAATCATTTCCAGCCATCCCTAGCATTTGTGAAAAAGTAATTTATCACACACCTCTTTCATTCTGGCATGTTGCTATTGTTAGGTGCCATTGAGTCAGTTCCGACTCACAGCAACCCCATGTACAACAGAAGGAAACACTGCCAGGTCCTGCTCCAACCTTATGTTCTTTGCTATGCTTGAGGTCATTGTTGCAGCCACTGTGTCAGTCCATCTTGTTGAGGGTCTTCCTCTTTTTGGCTAACCCTCCACTTTACCAAGCATGATGTCCTTCTCTAGGGACTACTAGTCCCTCCTGATAATGTGTTGGAAGTAGGTGAGACAAAGTCTTGCCATCTTGTTTCTAAGGAGGGTTCTAGCTGTACTTCTTCAAAGACAGATTTGTTTGTTCTTCTGGCAGTCCATTGAATCCCGATATTTACCATATACATTTTAAAAATAGGCAGATTTAAAACTAAGTATCAAGGAAGTTACAATATACTCCAATTCAGAATGTCACTAATCACTGGAGCACACTGATTAAGGAGGAAAGCCAAGAACACTATTTTTCTGAACTAACTTTATCCACAGAATATCAGCAGGATTACCCTGGAGCGTGGAACTTCAGCTTGGAGAACGGTTTTTGTTACATAAGCATATTGCTGAATTCTACTATACAGGATTCTGTGATGACTCTGGACATGTATTACTATTTCAGCTGTATAGTCTATGTATTTCTTCCTATTCCTAGTTAGTAAATACTGTTTCACATTCAGAATTTATTTACTTTTTATTCAGAATTAACACTTTACATAACCAATGACATAACATTTTACTAAACTATATTGTTCAAAGAGTTCGGTTGTAGTAAAAATTTTCCTAGTGAATAAAAAAATATTGCTTTAAAGTAAAAGAAAAAAATATCATCTTGCTATCTAAAATTTTTAAATTAAACCTGGCTAACCGAGATTACACTTATTTGCTAAACCAAACACTTTGATCCTCCCATGGGAATGAAAAACTAATGAAACATAAGGTACCTGTGAAGCTTGAGAGTGACAGTTCCATAAACAGTAGCAAAACCCAGAAGGCGAACCCATCTTAGGAGAATACAGCGAAATGTGCTTGGCTCAAAGTACAAAATAACAACCTGTGGGATGAGAAGAAAAAGACAGAGACCTTAAAGATCAACCGATGACCCACAGACTAAAATCAATATTTCATGATTTGATGTTTTATAAATATGGATTTTGATATAAGCACACACTAATCTGACCAATACTTTAAAATATTATTTTGATCATCAATTCCTCAGATGAAGAACCATTACTAAATTTTTTAAATCTCACTTCTAGGATTTTCTATCAATTGTCTCTAAGACTTTGGTATGTCCAAGCTTACCTCTCTTTATTTCCCAACATGGGCAAGCCAGGCCAGCTTCCATTGCCATTTTCCGTCTAAGCCTTGTTTATTCCTACCTTCCTACTTCTAGCAATACCTTTCTTTTGTCTGAAACAGCCTTGACAAGATTACCTTGTACTTTACCCACAAACAATCTACTACTACATAGCTATTATTTAACTAAGCAATTGGCTCAATTACCCTACACTTCTCACTCCAGACTTTTCATTCAACAAATGTTAAACATTTACCATGGGCCAAGTATTGTGCTAGATGTTATGGATACAAGGGCCAGTAAGAGACCAAATTCTCACCCTCAAGGACCTCATAGTCTAGCTGGGAAGACAGACGTGTAAACAAGAAATCATATTACAGTAGCATAAGTGCTGTGATAAACATCTGTTCAGGTTCAATGGGGCCACAAAGAAACAAGTGGCCAATTCCAGGGGGATGATCAAAAGGTATATTCAAGGCACTGTACTACCTTTCATATGTTTCTGTGTGTTTTTGAGCAAGCACTCAGAGAATAAGGACTGGACTGGCCCTGCTCAAGGAATTTTGTATAGTGCTAAAGGATTGATGCTGTTGAAAAACACAGACTTATAATCTGCTGGAGCAGCTGGTAGACTCTTTGGCCTGAATGATTTTGGTGAAAGCAAGGTCATCACAACAGAACTTATATCATTGCCAAAACATTGAGTATTATTTTTGGTTTGCATACCAGAGATGTGCACATTGAAAAATATAAAGCACACCTGGGGGGAATGGAGTAGACGCTGACATTTTCTTGAAGATATCTTACAAGTGGAGCACCTCTCTCCAGTAGTACAAAGAATAGCATTGTCTATAACACTGGTACTCCTTGAATATTTCTACTGAAGATATTAAACTAAGGTGTTGACAATACTACCAGGACTAAATCCTCAAGGTCTAAGAAAAAGATTGGCCAGAATTGTCAAAGAGAAATGAAATAAAGTTAAAAATCGGTATGGACAGAAGATCCCACTTATCTGTCATTTTGTCCTACTGTGGTGGCTTGCGTGTTGCTGTGATGCTGGAAGCTATGCCAGTGGTTATTTCAAATACCAGCAGGGTTACCCATGGTAGACAGGCTACAGCTGAGCTTCCAAACTAAGACAGACTAGGAAGAAGGACCTGGAAGTCTACTTCTGGCAAATATTGGCCAGTGAAAACCTTATGAATAGCAGCAGAACATTGTCTGATAGAGTGCCTGAAGATGAGTCCCTCAGGTTGGAAGGCACTCAAAATACAATGGGGTGGGAGAAGAGTTGCCTCCTCAAAGCAGAGTTGACCTTAATGACATGGGTGGAGTAAGCTTTTGGGACCTTCATTTGCTAATGTGGCGTGACTCAAAATGAGAAGAAATAGCCTCAAACATCCATTAACAATAGGAACATGGAATGCATGAAGTATGAATACAGGAAAAGAGGAAGCTGTCAAAAATGAAATGGAACACATAAAGATCAATATCCTAGACATTAGTGAGCTGACATGGACTGCTAATGGCCATTTTGAAACAGACAATCCTATGGTATACTATGCCAGGAATGACACCATCAACAAGAACATTTCAAGATCTATCCTGAAGTACAATGCTGTCAGTGATAGCATAACATCAATATGCCTACAAGGAAGACCAATTAATATGACTATTATTCAAACTTATGCACCAACCACTAAGGCCAAAGACAAAGAAAATGAAGATTTTTACCAATTTCTGCAGTCTGAAATTGATCAAACATGCAATCAAGATGCACCGATAATTACTGGTGATTGGAATGCGAAGGTTAGAAACAAACAAGAAAGATCAGTAGCTGGAAAATGTGGCGTTGGTGATACAAACAATGCTGGAGACCATATGATTGAATTTTGCGAGACCAACGACTTCTTCATTGCAAATACTTTTCTTCAACAACATAAATGGCAACTATACACATGGACCTCCCCGGAATCAAACTGACTACATCTGTGGAAAGAGACGATGGATAAGTTCAATATCATCAGTCTGAACGATGCCCGAGGTTGACTGCAGAACAAACCATCAGTTGCTCCTATGCAAGTTCAAAATAAAGCTGAAGAAAATTGGAACAAGTTCACGAGAGCCAGAGTATGACCTTGAGCGTATCCCACCTGAATTTAAAGGCCATCTTAAGAATAGATCTGACACATTGAGCACGAATGACTAAAACAGATGAATTGTGGAAAGACACCAAGGACATCATACATGAAGAAAGCAAAAGACCATTAAAAAGACAGGAAAGAAAAGACCAAAATGGATGACAGAAGAGGCTCTGAAACTTGTTCTTGAACACCGAGTAGCTAAAGTGAATGGAAGAAATGATGAGGTAGAAGAGCTAAACAGAAGATTTTAAAAGAGCGGCCCAAGAAGACAAAGTAAATTATTATAATGAAACATGCAAAGACCTGGAGTTAGAAAACCAAATGGAAGGAACAAGTTTGGCATTTCCCAAGCTGAAGGAACTGAAGAAAAAATTCATGCTTCGAGTTGCAATTATTGAAGGATTCTGTGGGCAAAATATTGAGCGACATAGGAAGCATCAAAAGAAGATGGAAGGAATACACAGAGATACTGCACCAAAAAGAAATTAGTCAATGTTCAATCATTTCAAGAGGTAGCATACGAGCAAGAACTGATGGTACTGAAGGAAAAAGTCCAAGCTGCACTGAAGGCATCAGTGAAAAACAAGGTTCCATGAATTGACGGAATACTAATTGAGATGTTTCAACAAACAGATGAAGCACTGGGGGTGCTCACTCGTCTCTGCCAAGAAATTTTGAAGACCGCTACCTGGCCAACTGACTGGAAGAGATCCATATTTGTGCCTATTCCAAGGAAAGATGATCCAAGAGAATGCAGAAATTATAGAACAATATCATTAATATCACACACAAGTAAAACTGTACTGAAGATCATTCAAAAACGGTTGCAGCAACACATCAACGGGAACTGCCAAAAATTAAAGGCAGATTCAGAAGAGGACATGGAATGAGGGATATCATTGCTCATATCAGATGCATCTTGGCTGAAAGCAGAGAAAACCAGAAAGATGTTTACCTGTATTTTATTGACTATGCGAATGTATTTGACTGTATGGATCATAACAAATTATGGATAAAATTGCAAAGAACAGTAATTCCAGAACACTTAATTGTAATTGTGAGGAAGCTGTACTTAGGCCAAGAGGCAGTCATTCGAACAGAACCAGGGGATTCTGGTGGTTTAAAGTAAAGAAAGGTGTCCATAACAGTTGTATCCTCTCACCACACTTATTCAATCTGTATGCTGAATAAATAATCTGAGAAGAAGAATATGGCATCAGGGTTGGAGGAAGACTCATTAACAACCTGCAATATGCAAATGACACAAACTTGCTTGCTGAAAGTGAAGAGGATTTGAAGTACTTACTGATGAAGATCAAAGACTACAGCCTTCAGTATGGATTATACCTCAAAATATAGAAATCAAAAATCCTCCCAACTGGACCAATAAGCAACATCATGATAAATGGAGAAAATATGAAAGCTGTCAAGAATTTCATTTTATTTGGATCCACAATCAACACACATGGAAGCAGCGATCAAGAAATCAAATGAGGAGGCGGGGCCAAGATGGCAGAGTAGTCAGATGATTCCTGTGGTCCCTCTTATAACAAAGACCCAAAAAAACAAGTGAATCGATTATATATGACAATCCAGCAGCTCTGAACATCAAAGGCAAAGTTGAGGAATCAGACTGATTGGCTGGGGGTGGGAGAGACAGTTCCGAAACAGTGAGAAGTTGTCAGACCTGACCTGGCAGGAACTGGAACCCTTCGGGCTGGATTGGCTCGCGTGTGCGGTGAGGGAAGCAGTGGTGCTAGGGAGGTGTCTTCCACAGCAGGAGAGACCCAGCAGCAGAGAGTCTACTCGCCATCCAGAACCAGTAAAACACAGCACTCAACTGGCAAAAAATAAGTACTTGCATCTGGCCTACTGCACAGATCAAAAAATATCCGCTTTGGGAAAAAATCTCTCTCCCATTACCTCCCTGCTCTGCACTGGATCCCGGGGTGGCTTTAGTGATTGCTGAGTCCCCTGGGCTGGAAGTAGGACACGTCATGCATCCTGAGCCATTCTCCTGGCCTTGGAGAGGGAACAAATTAACAAACAGAAAAAATAATCTGCAAGCTTCCCTAAGCCAGGAACTCAGGGTAGGCACACGTCCTTTGCCTAGGCACAGGCATAAGGGGTTCACGGACCTTGAATGCATTTCACCCCTGCATAGACCTGTGTGGGCCCATTTCAACAGTGTAGGCCCTCATTAGCACAGTACAACAGAGTATATACTTGAAACCTAAGTTCACTGTATCAGCTCTATGGTGAAGTGGAAGGTTTGCGACATTTGACACTGCTCTGCCCATTAAGCAGGGTCCTCATCTATCCACATCAGGGGCCTGAAGACTGATGGCTCCACCCACACCAGGAGTCCAAGAGTAAGCGGTGCTCCCAAATCCTTACAGCCAATAGCATTGGGTGCTCATAGTCTGGCTACAAAACCCACCAACCTACTTGCTCTAGGAACAGGGACACATTTCCCTTCCAGACACAGGGGCAGCTGTCAGCCCCCTGCCTTGATCAGCTTGTGACCCCCTACTGCAGCCATATACCTGTGCCTACACCAATCACTTATGCCTGTCTATGACTGTAGGTGAGAGCCTGTACAACACA